TATATATTTTTTTTTTTTTTTTTTTTTTTTTTAATTTTACTGTATGTATCAAAAATTTACAGTATGTCTTCATTAAATCTTATATGCAAGTCATTATTATGTATATTGCAGAAAGGTGTGCCACTGGTGTTCGTTCCAATGCATCGTAGTCATCTAGATTATGTCCTTCTCTCATTCATCTTGCATAATTATGGTGTGAAGGCTCCACACATTGCAGCAGGAGACAACCTTAACCTTCCGATAATCAAGTAAGTTTTGCTGAAGCCAATGAGGGATTTAGTCATCTGATTGGCTGTACATTGCACTTAACTTGTAAAGGTTGATGGATCATTATATGACATGAGAGATATCCTTTGTGTATTGTGCCAATAAAGTTAAAATTAATCATTTTAATTGCTTACTTTGTAAATTTAAGCAAGTTAATACCAGATTCCTATAGCTTGGCAGTCATTGCGTTGTATGTTGTCGTCCAAAGGTTGTAAAACCATCAGACGATGAATCCAGCTCCACTCCCTGTGAGCCCTAGACAATGCAATCCTGTCTGCTGATTGTCAATGGCAGTTTGTGCGGATTGTCATTAAAAATGATCCATTGCGCGCATCATGTTGTTGCATTCTCCATAGAATCGCATTGACCAACAGCCATCGGACACAGTGAGAACACTTCTTAATTCACCTGTGAGTTATAAGAGCCTGTAAATCAGCACTAAGACCAGCAAGCCTGGCGTTGACCAATTGACAAAATATTTTGCCATTCTCTGTGTAAGTGTAAGCACTTGGCAGATGTGCTGTCAGTCAGGTGATCATCGTTGAAAATCTAATTTGGTGGTATCAATTTTTAATTAATGTATTTGTATTTTTGTAATGTTATTCATATATTTTTCTTTTTCAGTTGGTTCCTTCAGAGCCTCGGTGCTTTTTATATTAAACGTAAACTTGACCGGGAAGTCGGCAAAAAAGACTTAGTGTATAGGGCAGCATTACATACAGTAAGTTTTTTCATTAATATAAACGAAAACTCAGTATAAATAATAATGATCATAATTTTCGACATGTATTGCTCTATGCAGAGAAGTAGTGCCTTTTTCAAACATTATTGCTACTGTTTTATTATCTTTAATTTATTTAAAGCCACCTGTAGCTAAAAATTATTAGAATAACAATGTTATGTATAACTCTTCAATATTTTATTATAATAACTTTGTAATACAATCATATACAGCCTTTAGATATTGGATGTACATTTATGATGTTTTTGTATGTAATTGAATTTAATTTAAAAAAATTTTAAAAACTGAATAAATAATTCTAAATTTTTCTGGTTTTTTTCATCAGTATATTGAAGAGGTGCTTCGGAGTAACCAAAGTCTTGAATTCTTCATGGGTAAGTTAAAAAACATTTTTAACAAATTATTTAATATTTATTATTTTATTGAACTTCTGATTAATCATTAGGAAGACAGCAACTTTCACAATGGAAGCTTTGTTTACTATTTATTGTTTTATTAAAATAAAATAGGAAAAAAATAAAGAAAATTTTGGAGCATAAAAAGCAATGCAAGACTGAAGCCAATCTCTATAAACAGTCATTAATAATGATATCAAGATGAAGCAATACCACAACAGAAGTATGCTATTGGGAAGGGAAGGGGTTGTGCTATCCAACTTTTAGATCATGTTTTCCTTGTTTTTGTTTAGAAAACTGTTGATGTATTGTACTCACTTCAAAAGTACAGTGTCACAGTAACATCTCCCAATTACTAATGTCCCATTTACGAACTCTTGATTTTACGAACCGAATTTGAAGCGATGGCCTCATTACGAACAATCGTTTTTAACTACTAAAACACTTTAAAATGTATTTAAAAGTCTTCAGAAATAATTTAAATTGTTACTTTAGCTAAGAGAAAAAACATTCAAACCAATAAAGTGAGATAAAACTAAGTTTCAAACAAGATATATTACATCTGAGCTATGCATGCTTGTTCAGGCATACTGTACCCTAAACCTTACTTTTTGATCATTGAGGTGCTATTCGCATGGATTAGCGATCATTTTGAAAAGAATAATAACACTCGTTTTGGGCATTATATGGTCATGTTTTCATTCAGAAAACACTTCAAATGAATACTTCACAGTAAGCATAGGTAATTTTTGCTTCTGTGAAGTATTATTTGGTTGCAGAAAACAGTAAAATCCAAGTCATATTTTGTGACAAAATTTTCCTCATGGCAATGCTTAGGCCTACTAAAGCCCTGTACTTTGTAGCATAGGCCTAGGCCTACCCTCATCACAATGAGATTGAACTCTTTGAATTACAAGTTTTCTCATTTACGAACCCTGTTCGGACGACGGAGCGGTACGTAATTGGGAGATATCACTGTATTTTAATAATAATATTTTCTAATAATGTTTTGTTTATTTTGTCCTTCCAACTTCTTCTTCATTTTTCTCCAAGGATATGTATGTACTAAGATTGATACAGAACTAAGATTATAAATTAACCTCAATATTACATTTATTTTTTTTAGAGGGTGGAAGATCAAGGAGTGGCAAATCTTTATTGCCCAAAGGTGGCTTGTTGTCGTGCGTTGTTGACTCATATTATGATGGTTAGTGTTTAGTAAAATAATAACATTTACAGCCTGTGCAATGGCAGCTGACTCGATTTCAAGAGACTGTAACTCAATGAAGTATTACACAACAATTTGTTTTACAACAAGCCCAACTCAGACCACCCAACAGTCATCAGGCTGTCATTGGGCAAGCGTTCACATAGCATGGGTCAATTCGGTGGTCAACTGACGATCGATATATTGGAAGGGAAGCATATTAATCCTCATGCCTCAGCTGTATGTTATATGTTTCTGTATTGAAATTTATGTTATATAAAATTCTTAAATTATCTAAATGTTGTTTGTTTTTATTTGTCAAAATTAGGAGTGATTTCAGATGCATTTATTGTACCTGCATCCATAAGCTATGAAAAAATCTTAGATGGAAACTTTAATAATGAACAAATGGTAAGAAAATGTTCTTATGCATAATAGGAATATTGCGAATGTGTATATACAAGCAGTATTGTGAATAGAAAGTGCGAAAGGAGGTTTTATGAAATGATGTACATTAAATTATTTTTATCAGCTTAAGTTTTCATTAAGGTTAAGCTCTTGCTTCCTGATAGTTGGCCAATACGGGAATTATTGGTCGACATGTGAAGAGTGCTTTTTGAGCAAACTTTTGACTCTTATGTTGACTAAAGTGTGTATGTGTGTTGTTGTCTCTTTATAAATTTACCTGTGTGGTGGTAGTCGTAGTGACTAAGTTGGTGGAGGTTTTAGTGGGCAGAAACAATCATTTGACTTTTATGTCCGACCAACGTGTGTGTTTGGTTGTAAATTTCTTTGTTGAAATATAATTATGATATGATATATGATAAAATTTACCAGTGTTGTGGTGGTGGTCGTAGTGGTTATTGTTAAGGAGGTTGTAGTGGTCAAAAGCAAACATTTGACTGTATGTTGTAGCGATACATGAATACAACTTTTCCTCTATTGATATATACATTGTATGTTAAAGCTGGTGCCGACTTAACTTTCAATTTTATTCATATTCAAGGGTTTGCCGAAGAAGAAAGAGACGTTCTTGATGGCGGTACGCGGAATACTTGATGTTTTGAAGCACAACTATGGGCATGTGAAAGTTGACTTTGTTCAGCCTTTTTCATTGAAAGTATGTAAAGTTTCTTTTGGTATTAACATAATGTAATGTATTTATGTACATGTTGCAGCAAAATAAGCCAGTCTTGGTCCTTCTCAGTCAAATATTATAGTGATGATGACGATGATGGTGGTGATGATGGTGGTGATGATGATGATGATAAAGTAGTAAATAAAATTTTCTCAGTCCCAATCAACACGTATGTTTTGAAGTGTAGTGTGGCTTTTCTTCATCAATAATATAATCGTTTTACCATATAATAAAAGTGAAAATGAGAATACAATGGTTTTTCGAAGCCATCTTTCAAGGTTTAATTTTATACTTATTAAAACATAGATTTTAGCACTGTGCATTTTTCACCAACCAAAATGCTGTTTTTCCAGGAGTACCTAGAGTCACCTCAGGTTCCTGCCACACCTGTGAGTGACATTGCGACCTCTGGTATATGCAAGACGAAAGTCAAGAGGGCAGCCAGTGACACATCCTTATATGGCACGGACATCGTCGTCGAAGATACTCGGCAGCTGGTCAAGGGTTTGGCGGAGCATATTTTATATGGTGAGTTTTCGTTTCACTGGTTGTTTGAAATATTTATCTTGGGTCTGACAAAACATAGAGGGTGCTATATTAGGTAATTAAAACTACAATAGAGGGTGCTGTATTTAAACATTATTACATAGAGGGTGCTATATATCATATATTAGTGAATAAAAAGACAGATGGTGGTGTACACATATAATTATTTTGTTTCACTCATTGGACATGAACAAAGTTGGCAGGTATAGTAATGGTAATTTACATTGAATGATACAGAACAAAACAAAGAGTTGCTTTATAAAGAATCAGTTTCTTTTTCCAAAAGCTGTGAAAATATAATTATTCTGACCTATCAGCAGACAGCAAAACAAACCGTTAACCTTAATTCTACGGATTCTTTTTTTATGAAAGTACTGTTACCCTAGATAATTTAAATATAAAGCAATTTTGTTGTATGCTATGTAAATAGAACTTTTTAGCTGCTTGAAAACAGTTGGCACAGCCCCTACGGCATCGCACAGTTTGGCCCAAACTCTAAGGATAAGAGAGATAGGCATCCAACATTAGAGCCGATGTGGCTTTACCTACCTTTGCTGCATATATGTCATTGTAACACTCTGTATATTGGCTTTCAAGAAATTGATGATGATGGTGATGCTACTTTTGATATAGAGGCAGTATCGATAGATTGAGATTTAGTTTGATTTGTTTCATGTTATTTTCTGTTCAATCTCTGAATTTACCCCATTTTCAGATTCAGTACAAGTTTACACAATCATGAGCACAAACATTGTGGCATTTTTACTAATGACTAAATTCAGGGAGGTAAGTAAACATGTAATTAGATTTTAAGTATTATATTATCCTGAAATTAAAATACAGAACATTCAATTAAATAATTAAATATTTATAACATTCATATTAAAAATAGTGCGAAAAATATTTTTTGGGGCAGATTTTTTTGTTAAAAGGTAGGTGGGGGGTGGGGTGATGCCTGAAATTTCAGATGCTTTAATGATGCATGTGTGGTTGATAAACTAATATTTTTATAGTTCTTTATAAATGAAAGTTTAAATATAGGCCAACATACAGTAATAGGCTATATTTCACAGCCATAAAGATACATGCATGCTCGTAAAGTTTAAGAGGGAGGGAGATAAAGTCTGTTTATCCCCTCTAGATCCGCCCCATTTTGTCGCATTAAAAAAATCGAATATTGTATTCTTTCAGGGTGTTTTCTTTGAGACACTTGTCAAGGAGTTTGATTTGTTGAAAGATGAAATTGCATCTCGTGAGCAGAGCATTGGTTTTACTGGAAAATCTGTGGCTGTTGTCAACCATGCACTTCGTCTTCTCGGAGACGATCTCATCCGGAGGGAAAGCGTTGAAGTCGATTGTACCACTAGCCCAGATCTCTTATGGCATGTGTGTTCAAAGTTGACATTAAAATCGCACAAAGAGAAGGAGTTTATTTCGCCAGAATTGAGCTTGCCGAAAATTTTTCAACTCTCCTACTACAGTAATGCCCTCATCTCTGTTTTTCTCATGGAGTCAATACTTGGTAAAAAGCATAGCTTATCTCATATTCAGCACCACCATCATCATTATTAACATTGTCAGTTGAGAACGTGTAAGAGAGATTCCCAAGCTCCAGAAGATAAGAAACAGAAAGTCTGATTCTTTATTAAATCTTCAAGACCTATTTAGTGCCAAGCCTTTGAATGATGCAATGGAGTATCAGCAAGTCTTGTTCTTTATTATATCTTCAAGAGCTGGGGAGTTCCTAGCTTGTATTTTCAAAGATATAATAAGGAAATCAGCAAGTCTTGTTAATTGTTACATTTTTAAGAGCTAGGGAGTTATTATTTTTTAAACATATAATGAAGTATCTGCAAGTCTTGTTAATGTTTTTTTCAAGAGCTAGGGATCTCCAGCTCCTAAAGATGTAATGAAAAATCAGTAAGGTTTAGTGCTTTGTTCTTTATTCTTCATGCTGAAATCACATTGATCATTAATTAAACCTTAATCGATTATAATGCTCATATTTTAGTTTTCAGACTAAGATTAAGGTTTGGTACGTAATTGTCTTTTACAGCCAATGCCATTGTTGCAGAGTGTGGAAGTTCACAGTTGATGTTTAACTCTTGCCAATCACAACCGTTTTCAGTCAGTAAGGACATGCTTGTGAAAAAAGCTATGCAGCTGTGTGATCTGCTTCAGTTTGAATTCATCTTTGCTCCAGTAAGCATAACACCCTGTCCAGACAACTACAACATTTTATTTTACAAAATCATGTGATATGCCTAAATATGGTCATGATGACATCACATCATGACCATATATAGGCACATCATGACCATATATAGGCACATCATGACTATATATGAACATATAACATTTTTTGTCACATAAAATTTTATAATGTGGACAGACCTTAAAAAAAATTTTAACACCCAGTTTTGATTGTTTTGAGGAGGTAATAAAATTCACCACAAAAATGCCTCTCTTTTGCTAATTGGTCAAAATTCATCTCCGTTTGCCATCATAACCCCTTTGTTTCTTCATTTTGTGCCTCCTTATTGGATCCGCCCCTGCACGAACGACTGTCCTCAGTTATTGACACTCGTGCAGTGATATTTTCTCAGAATTTTTTCTCATATGGCCCTGAGGAAAATATCAATCATGTTTGACAAAATAACTAATCGTTTCATTTTCTTTAATTTAGCCATGTGGAAATTTGACAGATGTTATCAACGACACAATCGAGAATCTAGCTGCGAAGGGAATCATTGCCATCAAAGACGCCACAGCTGCATTCAAAGATCAACGGTGGGTACGCCGTATTGCTGCGTCCACTGGCTGGGACAGTGAGGATAGCGATGATGAAATAACATACCAAGCAGATAAAGAGACTATTGAGGTATGTGTGAATGTCCGTATTTGGGTGTTAAGTGACATCATCATGCCCATATATGGGAATAATGATGTCATATGATGATGTTATGGTGACAAATTTGCACATAAAATTTGATAGTGTAAATAGAGCTTAAAGTCCTGTCCAGACTGTCAAAATTTTTTTTTACAAAAACATGTGACATGATGGTCATGAAGACGTCACATCATGCCCATATATAGGCACATAATGACTATATATAGGCACATCATGCCCATATATAGGCACATAATGACTATATATTGGCGTACAACCGTTTTTCGTCACATAAACTTTGACAGAGTTTAATATAAAGATAATGAATATATACTGAGGAAGATAAGTGGTGTATCCCACACAAATCCTAATCTGTTGCCTGGACTTACTTCCAGTGGGGTCCTTTTGGTGGTGATTGGGCAGTACACCGGGAGACAATCCCTGTACTCTTCCAAAGAGTGTGTACTGCATTCTTTAATGTGTACATGGGCCATAATGCACACGGGACCAACAGCTTAAACGTCTCATCCGAAAGACGGTGCGCTATTGTAAGTTGTATTTCAGCTCTCCAGCTGAAACACAAGGAGAGGCAGCGAATTAAATTGAACCGGGGGGACCTAGAGATCTCCACGGTTCAGCGCACACTCAGTGGCTATCACCAGATTAGCCAACTGAGCTAAGCTACTCTCTATTCATTATATATATTCATCTCTTTATCTGAGACTAAAGTAATTTGGCGAGTTTGTTAGTTGCTCATGCATACAAACAAATTACACAAATTTCATCACATTGAAATATAGGTATGGCACTATGTTGTTCGTAGCTCTAGACAGCCAAGGCCCTTTCACGTTGTAAAACAAGCTTGTTTAAAATATTTGCAAATGACTCGCCAGTAAGGCTGTAGAAAAATTATTAGATGCTTATGGATAAGTAAATGATGTTTGATGACATCACTATGATAAATTATAATCCTTCTGCTGTAGGTTGACCTGTCAACCGAGAATAAGAGTCAGCTTCAGTTCTTGCAGTCCATCCTTGGACCACTTGTTGAAGGCTACTGGTTATCAGCATGCAACCTTGTTCGTCTTTTGGACATGGATGTGGACGACAACACGTACCTTAAACTGGTCAATATGCATGCCAAAGAAAGAGTTGAAAAGGAATTTGCTGTCTACAGTGAGTATTATTTTTATTAAATTACGTCATCAATTCCATTGAGATTCTCGGACTAAAAGTTATGGTTTTTTGATTTTTTTTGTTTGTTTACTAGATGAAAGTTGTGCCATGGACACACTGCGTAATGCTCTTAAAGTGTTCCTGCACTGGAAAGTCCTAATTACATACTATGATGCGGAGAATATAAAGATGTTACAGTTGAAGGAGCCGTACAGAGATGAGGGTAAACTCAGCGTGCTTATTGATAAGATCGAGGCATTCCGTGTATAAATCCCTGGTTTTAGAACTGAAAGAATATTCGCCATTTTATTGATTAATTCAATTTGCAATATGTAGTGAGGGAAGCAGGTATGATGAGGAACCCAGCAAATTCAACCATTACAGATATTTTGTGTGTACTGCATGGCAGTAAATACTATGCTATCAGCATTGTATAAGAATAACTCATAAAACCCAAGCGTAAGAGAAAACTTGACTGTACCTGAAGAGGCCTGCATTCATTCTCGGCTGTGTGGTGTTGAAAAGTTCCACCTTGACACATCAGAGCATTCATAGAATCACGGTGACCAACCATCAAAAGATATTGACCCAAAAATGACAAGATGTGAGCCACAAAGCACAACAGGCAGGTGTGTTGCGGTGGTCAGTCACTGTGATCCTGTGAATGCAGTGCAAGTTAAATTAAAAATGGATTTTTATTAATTTTCTGCATTTCCCCGACGAGCCCTTTTTTTATACCTTGTTTAGGGAACCCAGGGAGTGCAAATATTGATGATTTCGAATAAAATAAAATTTTATTTTTGGCCAGTTAGCGCACCCACAGCCACGAAAAAGTGGAAATTTCAGAAAAAAAATAAAACTTTTTCTTTATTTTTATTATACCCTCAGCTGCCTTGAAATCTCCAAAGATAAGATGTATATTTCTTCCCAATTATGTAAATTTGAAGCATTTAACCATCCTATTTTACATTCACCAATAAAATTTTATTTTTATTTTCTCCTCCGTCTGGATGATTTTGACAAAATTATTTGCTAAATAAGAAAGCAAAATTTTACTTTTATTTTTATTCCACCCTCCTTCAATAATCTTTAAAAAAATAAGTATGCGAAACAAGGAATAAAAAAAGTCTCGTCTAATCTATTAATTACGCAGCAGAAATCAAGGATGTTCTACAGGTTGATGTACATTGCATGTCCCTCATTACTACTAGCAAGTATACACATGCAACTGACCTATTTTTTGCTTAGGTTTTGATATCAGTGTGATATATGCAGAGAAAAAAAAAATGAAAATATACTTTTGTTAAATCAAATTTAGGATTACTATAAGGAAAAAAGTCCTTTGTCTTATTGTCAAAGTGAATAATTTTAATATGCCAATGAACAGGGTATGTTACTTTGTTTACCAAATTTGTATTGATTTTTTTTTTTTCATATTAGTGCATTCTCTCCTGTTTTTTTAAAGTAAAGTTTGTGAAAGAGAGTCACAAATATTTATGTGTACCACAGCCCTAGAAAATTAAGAGCATAAACTGGTATGTTTGAGTTTTTGTGTACATTGTAATAGTGGCTGACTTATCTTGATTCTGTTATTGCACAGGTACTGACCTCATATTTAAACTCACTGCCAAATTCTCCCCTTCATATTAAAGCAATATTTATACAGTACTGTGTATTATTTGTTTATCTTTTCATAAATAAGAAACCTTCAATTGCATGATGTGTAAGCATTAGAACATGATGTCACGTGGAGTCATATGTTCATGCAAGGACGCTGAATTCTATTAATAATAATAATGATACATTTCTTATACAGCGCAGACATATCTGGCGACATCTCAGTGTGCTTTACACAATTTAAAAATTGTAACTTAAATATCTTAAAAGTACGAAGTATTCTCTAATTAAACAACCTTTCCTAATTTAGCACAATTTCACAAATGTAAAATGTTTAAAAAATAATAAAATTACGGTACAAGAAGCAATTTCACAAGAGAATACAATTTTAATTTATATTATTTACTTTTAATTTTATTTATCTCTTTTTTTAGTAAAATGCAAATCAATAAAACAATACAATGTATAATTCTAAGACACAGTTTGGCTCTAATCTATGTTGTCGCAGAAAGTAGATGGTAAAGGATTGGGGAATGTGTTATTAGGTAATGTCAGCCAAATTGAAAGTTCCATAAACAAGCCGGGCACAACAATCGCACGACCAGCGGCGACGAATCCAACTCCGCATTATGTGAGCGTCAGATGATGCGACACCGTCATCTGATTGTTGCTGGAGTCTGAACATATTGTCATTAAATACGATCCTTAAATGAGTCGTTGCGTTCTCCATAGAATTGTGTTGGCCGAGACCCTTGGCCGCGGTGATCGCCCAGCTTTATAATTACTTAGCCTTGTGTTGGTTGATCCGCCATTAGTATTCAAGAACATTCCCCCCCCCCCTTTGTATTCATTGTCATAGCAACCAGTTATAATACAGATTGATATTATATTTATTATGTAATTGTTAGAAAACCAACAGTATTATCTCTTTAAAATACTGTTGATATAGGCAAAGACTATAGAACTGCAAGTTGTCCGACTCTTGGGGCTTCATTGGAATCCTATCTCAAAAAAAATGCTATCACGAACCAAAAGGCGTCCTTCAAGAGAACGTAAAAGGGCGCCCCCTATGTTGTATAGTACTTTTTCATTGCATGAATACAAAGTCAGGGCAGTTGGACCTTTTGCGGTTCTATACTCTTTGATATAGGTGTACAAATTGCAGACAGAAAACATCAATAGAAATCTCCATCAATTGTATTTTTTGAAAAAAAAACATTTATATCAACATAGAATGTTATATTTTGCAAAATGTTGTTTTAGAAGTGTGTTTCTAATTAGGTTGAACTGTATAAACAGTAAGATAGCTACATGTGCATCAGGTAAATAAAATTGGTGCTGTATTAATAAATGTTGAAACACTTTATTCCTTTAATGACTGATAAATCAGAACAAGGCTAGGAATACGTGCGTGTCCTATAAAAAAAGCACGTAAACGTGCATTTGTCCCACAAATGCACGTGTTTACGTGTATGTACTTTTGTTTTGTGGGGCCTTAGGGATATAATTATATCAACAATACAATACAACAGTTATTTTTCTTCATACAAATTAGGTGGATGCGAGATAATGAGTAAACCAAAGTACTTTGATATCGAGGAGTGGAAGGGATAGCCCATTATACGGATAAATATAATGGCAATAAAACATCAGCTGCTCGTCATTTACATTAAAATTTAACAAGATATGAAAAATAACAATATGAAAAATTAATCAAGCATCTACAAAATAGTTACTTAATAAAATAGCAAAATAATATTGCCAATATTCGATGCATAAGCACAAATGCACCTTGATATTATTTCATAATAAAGTGTACAAATAACATGTTCAGTTCCAATTAGCATTATAAAACCTGAACGATAATAAAAATGTAATTAAACATCTACACAATACAAAGCAATAATAATTAGATACACTAATTTGCATCAGTGGCACACATCATACAATACCTGATGGTGCATCCAGAAACAAAAATGAAAAGAAATTAAATCAGATTGAAAGCAAAAGTACAACAGAAACACAGATGAATTAAAGGCCTATAGATACAGTATATGACAGAGATGATTATTGATATGAACTTATTCAAGTACTGTATAATAATTTGATAATGTAATTCTTTAAGGCGTTCATGTAATTTGATTCTCAGTTTATTTCAATATTTGTAACGAATTTCCTTTCTGTTATTCCATTTGTATTTTAAACGACGCACCACTCGTTGAGTTAAGCGCCACCGATGAATATTAATAAAGTACAGTACGTAGTTTCGAAATTCGTTGTTTCGAACCAGTCAAGCGATCGCTTCACGTGACGTCATTCATTCGGTACTCGTAATATTAGTGAGAATAAATAAATAATATTCAATGAGGAAAGAGACCAGGTTGGTTGACGAAGTTAAAGGAATCTCACAAAGAGCAAAAATGCTGTTGCTTGTCTTTTGTTTAGCTCTAGTCCCTGCTTTAGGTCAAGCTACACTGGTTGGTTCCATTGAAACAATACCAGAAAAGGATTACAGAAATTACGCAATAATTCTCAATTTTGCTGCTACGACTATCAACGACAATAGGGAAACCTCATATGACGAAAGGTGTACCCGATTTCTCGAAGTAAATAAGCAGGTATGTTGATTCCAAATGAGTCTTAGGAGAGGTTGGGGAAGGAATGACTGTGGGGAAGATTGTGTGCACGTGTGATTGTGGGTGTGTGTGTGTTATTCAGTTCAGTTATATTTAGTTCATTCTTGAACAACATGAAGAAAGAAAAATAAATCGAACAACTTTGAAAGGTGGACAAATGACAATATTATCTGAATAAACTGTAAAGAATAACACACCCTCCCCCACCCCCCGCAAAAAAAAACATGTTTCTATTGGGGACGGTACTCACTAATACAGTGGTCTCATGTACACTAATTGTCGACCACACAGTAAACACCAAGAGCCAAAAGTGGTTTCATGAGAATAGCAATTTGTCTATCACAAATTAGTTTCACTATTTTTTGTGGGGTGGGGTGGTGGTGTTGAAATATAGAACTACTAAACGTTTCATTTATACATAAAAAATGTGAAAATGTTCTCTTTGAAAGATGGTGTTTTAACATTTCGACAGCATCCCAATAATAATCCATCAAGGTTTACAGCAAAGTGACAGCTTGCAAAAATTGTAACTATTCAAAAGAAAATAAAGAAATACATACAACGACTTGGCAAGCCATTGAATAATACGGTATTAACCTTCTTGCCTACAGGTCATTCGAGGCGAATTATTTAAGGTAAAAATCGAGTTCTTTCCAGAAGAATGTCGAATAAATACGGACGACACGTGTGAGCTTGTTCGCGCCTGCAATGAGGTAAAATAATTCTGCAGTGAACGCGAGTTCATTTTTAGTGTTTATTTGCGTTCATTTACTGTATCTATATGCGTTTAATTCATTTTTGTTTCTGTTGTTCCTTTTGTTTTCAATTTGATTTAATTTCTTTCTTTTTTTTTCTGTTCTGGATGCACCATCAGGTATTGTCTGATGTGTACCACTGAAGCAAAAGTGAATCCAATAAATAATATTATTATGACAGTATATATTCATTTTTTTAATAATGTTTTTATGAGGTTTTTTACAAAATTGTATATATAATAGGCCTATTTAAAACTAAATACATAAAGTACATGTTGTATTTATTTCAAAAATATCTAAATCAGATATCATTATCGGTACAGAAACTAAAAATCACATTTCAAGATTCCATATTCAATTAAAGATGTGATTTAATAATCCAAGATTTTATTTTTGAGTTAAGAAATATTGGAATTCTGTCTATTATATATTATTTTGGAATTCCGTATTTCTGTGAAACATTAATTCCGTCTTTCTGGGATAAAGTAACTTGATTCCACCTTTCCAAGATAGGCCTAAATGAAAACCTGAAGACTTGAGAGGTCTTCATAAGTTTGAGTATGCCTGGCCTTATTGAATTATCATCAAGTTTATGATGAATTTCATTTTCTTTTTCGTTAGGTACACAAATGTAGTGCATCAGTGTGGTCAAGACCGTGGCATGCAGAACCAATGTCACTAGAAGACCTTCAATGCAATGTTGCATAAATACAAAATCATTGGTTTTAATATGATCTTACACAATTCGAATATATAAATTAGTAAATTCATTGAAAGTAATCAAGGTATGATGAACAGGGGCGGCGCCAGGGGGTCCACACCCCCCCCCACCTTCCCAGTCGGGGAAAAATTAAATTTGTCGGGGATTTTTTTTAAAATTTATTTAAAGATAATACAATTTTGTGTTAAGCAAGGGATTCTTTATTTAAAAAGAATGTCGGGATTCTACTAGTCCACCTGTCGAGGGTACTAACTCCCTGTCCAGGTACCAGCCCCTGTCGGGGAAGAGCTGGCGCACCACTGCAGCCCATACGATCGCAATAGTATACAACACCTCGCACATACGGTAGCACTGCTCGCGCTAAATAGTTTTTTCCCGACAGCCATGCTGAAAATTTCCCGACAGGGGGTCCAAGCGGAGGTGTGCAGAAGTCCCGACGGGTTGTCCTTTGCCCCCTGGACCCCTGCCAGCGCCGCCCCTGATGTTGAAGTGTATTAAGGTAGTTTTTTTTTCCCGATTTTATTTGACCTTGCTGGAAATAAATTAATATTATTATAAATAAAGCAAAATTAGGTCATATGTAAGTAATGATATTATTCCATAATTAAAAAAAAGACATATATGACGTTTTGTAAAAAATGTGTCATTTATCATGCACCTACTTGTTTTTTTTTAATGATATACTTTATATATGTTATACATCCCTCCCATAAAAAAACAATGTGTTAAATATACATCACCTATATTTTTTACGATTACAAATAACCGAATATGGTACACAAAAATATCCACATTTCTCAATAACATGTATAGGCCTATGTATGTATGCATGCATGTATGTGTGTTTGTATGTGTATATGTGTGTGTGTATGCATGTGTGTGTGTGCGTATGTGTGTATGTATATGTATGTATATGTATGTATGTATATATATATAAATATATTTATATATATACGTATATATATTTATATATATATACGTATATATATGCATATATATGCATATATATACATATATATATATACATAAATATACATATATATGTGGAAGAAGGTGACTCAGTCAGACCATGGACCTATTAATAAATAGGTCCATGGTCAGACACAAATGAGTTATTCTTGGCTTTTTGTATTGTAAAAATGATGCTTTATTCACGTCAAAATATATTCGCAAACAAAACACGCAATAGTGTATCGATACGTAACAGATGGACGAAGTTACAGCTATAACAGTTGATCACGACGATTACATCGATTACAATGCTTGACATGGATTACAACAGTTACAACAGTTGCATCAATTACAAGGCTTACAGCTATTACAACTATTACACACAAACACAATTCAAAACCTGAAACCAAAACAAACACATATTACAGTATTTCAACTAACGAATTACAAATAATACATTTTACCAATAACAGGCCTAAGCACGGCCTAAAGTCAGTACCGTAACATGCCTATTCATAAACATTAATTACTGTATAGTTAAATGATAACAATCAGTATAATCACATTCGTAAATATAC